TATTGTTTATAACAATTGTAATGGAGAAATATCTGCAATAAACCTTAGAACAACATTACCACACCTGTATTACAGCACCATGGATCGTAACACAACCATGTGGATTATCTATGGCAAACTTTTCATTCAAATAGAAATTAAGAATTTACCAGTCATTGAGTAAAAACTAGCATCCTGCGTCAAAAAAATTATAGCTCCTGTGCCGTTTAACTAAGTGTGAAATACCTTACTTGACATACAGCTCAAAATTACTGTAATTATTTACACTGTCTTTCATTTTGAAATTGCCCAACACCTATCATGGGAATTAAATGTCTAGTTCCTTCGAAATAGTCAGAGATCATAGCCACATCTCAAAATTAACAATTATTTAAACTCCATGAAGTAAGTAACGTGTTAATGCATCGTAGACTATTTCCTAAAAATTACAAGTATCCTATATTAAACAACCAAATTTAAATGTTGTTTATACATTTAATGATTATTAAACACTTATTAAACACTGATTATACATAGTGTATAGTTTTTGAATTTTTCAACCAACACTCTGTATGAAATTGACTAGAGTGATTACTTCTCAAACTTGAGTTTTCATGTACAGTAAGTAACAAACGGTGATAAGTTGGTTAGAGCTAAACTAACAGATCCCGGTCAATGTTTGTTTACCGATGTTTGATTGGTTAGGTTTGTATTGATGGGGAAACCAGATATTCTGTTTAGCTTGTAAACACCGTTGGTAATCAACATCAAGGGGAATTCCCCTCGGTCTAACATCGAACAATTTTGATCAATTTAACTATGGTTGAAATTGTGTTATTTATAATTTTTATATTATTTTTTTGCTATTTACTATTATTTCCTTAATATAATTTACCTTAAAGTGGAGATTTCACGTTTGAAATGCTCGAAAATAATGTTGATTTTAATGTTATATTTCATGGAGTCATTTGAAAATTTTAAAATAGTTCCCATCAAAAAATCTATGTAATGAAATCACAGCAATATAATTTTGTCAACACTCTCCCGAGCACTGATGCTATTAAATCTTTTATTTAATCTGAGTCTAATGTGCCAGACCCCATACTGTAGTTGACATATTCTTGTGATATCTGTCATCTGGGCTGTACACCAATATGCTTTATCTGATTGTACCTTTGTGATAAACTTCCCGTGATAAAACTGTCTCCAACATACTTGTCACTCGCAACTGTCTTTGTCAACGCGCAAAATTAATACGTGTGGAACACTGAATAAAACTCACTCGTTCAAAACAAGGAAAGGTTGGTTTTAACTGCAAAAGTTGGACTTTTCCATATAAAGGAGTTTGTTAACTACATTATATGTTTGCCTTTGTATCCCTTAGGAAGGGTTTGTTTATGCAATGAGCAAACTGTATAACGTTTGCTAATTAAAAAAATGTCTAAACATGTTTATGTCACAAAAAGTGTGATTGGCTCTGGACCCAAATGTCATTTGACATTAGGATGATTATTTAATGATATCATTGAACAAAAGGTTTACGCTAGACGGTAACAATACTAAATTTAAATTATAAATTAAAGTAGACAAAAAAGGGGTGTATCTAGGCTACATAAATAAAATATCAAAATGTTATCTCAAAATCGAAAGGGAAAATAATAGGAAGAGTGTGAACCAAACTAAAGCAATACCAAACCAAGGATGCCAACTAATATTATTAATATTAATAGGATAAGCAAGTTTCTCTAAAACCTTTTTCCCCCAGCTCGAGTGCATCGCAGGGAAAATCTAAGCATAGTGTTAGAAAGACATTTTCCTAGTAGATGTGCAGAATCCCTTTATAAATTAAAATTGGCTCAAAATAAGCAAAAAAACGAAATTAAATTTTTTTTACAAATTAACATGGGCTTTATGGGTTGCCATGCTGATGACGAAATAACAACGAAATATAAACAGAAAATGTAAACAAATGGAAGATATTCCAATCACATGTTTTTATTTACAGCGTGGGGTGAACATAGAGAAGTTCTTGTTCTGTTCTGTTCTTTTTGGTCGAGTTTTCCACCGCTGGACAACCTCTATTTTGAATTATTTTTAACATAATATATATAAGTTAAAGCTGGCTGATATACTATATTAGCCGTACACACCTAATTCTGTTATGCTTAAACAATTAAATTCCATTTACATACAGGATATACAAAACAGATGAGGAAATAATTTGCGTAGTTATTCATTGGGTTAAAATAAGCGAAAAAGTCTATATAATCGTATGTCCTATGTCTTTTCGTTTAGCGTCTGCTGTATGTGTATTGTACAACAACACTCCTAACTCCGTAACTGTTCAAAAAAACCTTTTAATCAAGAGTAGAGCTATAGTGTGTATATTCTGAAAGCATGGTCATCTTATAGGCAGCTAATTTTGCGAAAAACAAGAATAAAATACGTCAACCCATTTAAAAATGGTGGCAAAGCATTCTAAATATTTTATGCCAAATTCCACTAAACCGTGAATTTTATCAAACAATTTCTAGTCAAAAGAGAGCAAACTTGATAATTAAACGATGATGTGATACATTTTCGTTACGCTATCATTCGTTTTACGTCGTCACGTTCACCAATCCAGGACTTTATCCTGACCCTATCCTTTATCCCACAGGATAAAGTTGAGAGATTATCCTGGGTAATCCTTTCTCAATACTGAGTTGCATTCAGAAGAGAATTGTGACTAACGTTCGGTCTTAAAAATATAAAAGAAAAAAGAACTATCTTGTTCGATTTAGGCACAAGATATCTCTATATCTAGCTATATATGCATAGATATTAACATTATAAGATACTTTTTTGTCATATAATTAAAACTAAGGGTTTTAATCCATTGTTTATTATAGATTCTGTAGCATAATTTAAAAAAAATACGTATATAATATAAATAATAAACACTAATATTAAAGTCATATATTGATATAAAAAGTCATAATTGACTATTTCTGAAGCCCAAAATTTATCGTTTTTTTTTCATTGTTAGTTTTGTATTGAAATACACGTATGCTGTCTTTGAAAAACACAAAAACAAGTGAAAACTAGTTCTCATATGCTAATTTAATTGAATCTGTCTTCAACAAAGAGTAAGATTAAATTATGAAACTCGCTTCGCTTAGGATTTCAGACGTTATATTCTCTTAAAATTCTTCAGACGTAGTTCTAAACGTCAAAAAATTAAGGAATATTTAAGCTAACATTGTGTTTATTAACAAATAAATAAAGAACGAAAAACTGTTTAGTTTTAAACCAAGAAAATATTACCAACTACTTTGAATAGTACATACTAGTACATAGTAGTAGGCTAGTCACCCGGTTTTAAAATTTGAAGCGTTTTTATATGTGGATCATATCGGTATGATTTATACAGTGTGCAATGTCTACAACATTATACTGGTCGTATTGTAATATTTGATAGCCATACTCGGGGGAAAGTTATAAGTATTATTTAAAATTGGATAGCTTTAAAAAATAACTAAAAAATTAAAATAACGAGAACGAAATGACAAACTACAAAATGTAAATACACCAGATAGAACTAAATATAAAACATACATGTAAAATATATCTGTTGGGGAGTATGTTTAATCGATGATATCACCAAAGTAAAGATCTTTTAGATACATGATACTTGCAATGCTTTTGTTTATGACTGGAGATAAAATTGTAAAACACTTGCAGGCTAAGTAGTGATACAGACAAATTGTCGCATAAAACTCATCCGACCAAATTACCGTCCAAATCCGCAGCAAATGATGTTGTATCCTTGTCAGTGTTCTCCTCCCAGGTAGTAAAAGCAAATTAAGATTGTACCCTCATGTCATGCTCATTGCCTATAAGTGGCTTTTTCTTTCTTTCTTAATTGATCAACGGTAAACCTTTGGTAGCAATGTGAAACAGTCTGCTCTTCGTCTGAGAATAGTACTGGGCTTTAAAGTTTTATTCAAAGGGAAATCATTATTAAACTATCTTCGATTGTGTATCGTCCAAATTTAAAATGACGAACAGCACATAGTTGCTGGATTTTCCTGAATTACTAAAATAACTGTTCTAAAACCTAGTCATAAACTTAAATATTTGATTTAACATTTGGGATTTTGTTATAAATCAGCCAGTTTTGTTATTTCAATTATAAAATAAAACTAATAATGTTACATACAACCACTCGAACTGGGAGGCTGCTTGGATATTGTGCTCACCTTTTGATCAGAATGTTACCAGTTCAATCCTGAGAAATTCAGTAGCTTTTTGATGGTTTGAAATTTTCTCCAATATATGTCCTTAAACAGTATCATTTAATTCATTTTATTTGACGGATTGCGATTGATTGATTCATTCAACGTTTCATATTTCCCTCCAAAATTGGACCCTGTTGTGTCTACACTGTATGGATTATGGTGTGTAATATCATACTATATAAAGATTGGTGTTAGAAAACTTAATCCAAAAATTAAATAAATGTGTGAATGCAAACACTGCAACAGAGGTTACTGTTTTTTTTATTGACAAGTGTCAACAAAGTTTTCAATATACAAATACATCAGAGGCCTGTTAACGGTATTAACTTTACTCCTCTAAGTTTGTTTTGTAAATAAGATATTTTGGAAGAGTACATTGACCTGTTGAGATAACCTGTACTGTAACAATTAAGTCTGTGCCAAGATAACATTTGCCCTTGCCTTGACTGAATCTTTGTGATATATATTTGTTGTCACGCGACTTCCTAGCTGAGTTTCTTGTAAAAGTACTGTTACACTTTTCGTCAACTGTGTGTTCATGTATGCTTGCAGTTATGTTTTTGTTGAGTAATGGATATTGAGAAACATTATTACAGTATGGAATTATTTGGTCTTTTACATTGATAAAATTTTACTTTAATGGAAAAACCAAATTTTGTATAGATATTTAAGTAACGGTACATCAAAAGATTTAAAAAATCACGAATCTAAGTTATGATAAATATATTTATTTTGCGTAGTTATATTATTTAACAACAACGAGACGATTATATAAACTACTCATAAAATTAAAATATTGAGAACATTGTAGGTACTGGCGTCATTATTATCTCGCACATCTGAAACAAAAACCTGCGAGTTAAAAATAAAACTCTATGTATTCAGATAATTGAGTTAACCTCATTATTGTGATTTGTGTCAATATTTTTATGATACATTTTCTTTATGATTTTTACCCAATGAAAAAAAAGAATGAAAAATTTTGTTAAAATTAATAATGTGAATACAAATTATGTTCATTGTTTCAATAACTCATTGTTGAAGGTGAGGTGACTTAATTACAAGGCTATAGAAAACATAACCAAAATACTGAAACATTTCTTAAATAGAATTAAAATACTCGATTAAATAGGTCCTATTTAAAATTCTATTATCTCAGGCACCCCGATTCGGTTGAACAAATTTGCCCAAACAATGACGCCGTTTTGATTTCCTGAGTCTCCAAATGCACTAAATGTAACTTAGAACCCTTGTGACAGTAGAAATCAATTGCCATTGCAACATATCTTTTACTTGCGTAATAGCAAAATTCCACTTTGGTAATATATGACGGGACGTTTTTTGTTTTTAGTAAATGCCTAGTAATCATAATTAAAAAATTATACCTGAGTTACAGGTGAGGCAGAGAGAGCGTTCACGATGGCGGAACTGATGTCACTGGCATCCATAGCTATCACTTCCGGTTCCATAGCTGAGCCCAAGATGTTAGTTTTGGTTCTTCCTGGGCTAATACACTGGAGAAAAGTAGAATTTGTTCAAATGATACATTACAGAAATAAATAAATGTTGGACATTTTTATAGAATGATGTAAAATTAGTAATATTAAGGCTACAAATCAGATGTCAGTACAGTCAATGGTACTGCAAACTGAGAGAGGACACCATTGACGAACGTCATGACGTCATAAAACTATAGAGAATGTTAGGAAGGAATTCTAATCCTCGGTTCTGTGATCATTACTAATAATAATCCATTCATGCTGGCCAGCCGAGTAGTTATGGTACATTCCTTTCAGTGCAATTCTGAGAAAAGTCAGCAGCTTTTCACTTATTTTGTAATCCAGCTGTTTTTGGGATTCCAATTAATGACTCTAGTTAAAGAAACAGCTGATCTTAGTCAGTAACAAGACTACTCGGATGTCCTAATTGGACCGATTGCAAAAAAACAGCTGGAGCTTGAAACTACAAGAAGGGAGGATAAAGAATTCGTTTTTCACCCTATGAAATATTTAAGAATGATCTTAGTTTATTGGGGTTCTATAGTTATTTTCTCACCGTCACTTTGATGGCGCTTCCCTTTTCAGCCAGCTCTCGTCGTAGACACATAGCTATTCCCTTCACAGCATGTTTGGATGCCTGATACATCACCCCCTGCGAGAAGTGGGTTACCCAGGCTGACACACTACAAACAAATTGGGGTGCAATTTTATTGGTCGTTCTAAACAATGGCTCTAACGTTTATTGAAAAAAACACACACAGATTAATCACTGTGTTAGGTGGAGTATTAACTGGAAATGTTTAAACCTTTTAGATGAGATTTGAGTTTTTGCATTTATATAAGCATTCACAATTTGCATTAAAAAGAGTGTAAATAATGACAAATATCTCATTGAAACCTTTGAGTGATGCGTTGAAAGGCTTAACATTATTATGCATTTCAAAAGATGAATGTACTTAACACCTATTGGTAAACTCAAACAGTTAGGTCCTTTATTTACAGACATATGTGACATGGTGGATAAAATAACTATAAGTTAGTTTAAGAAATGAAAGACTACAATTACTTTTACGGAGCACTTTGGGTTCGTAAAAGTACCTTAACACTTTGGGAAAGAAAGGACAATTAAAGAATTCTCATGTCAAGCAACAACATAACACTATTTCACATAACTGTATTTTCTTTTTTAAAACTTCAAATGAATAGTCTATACCTGTTAAGTATAACCACGTGCCCGTGTTGGTTCTTCCTTCTGTCCATGGACTTGAGGAACTCCCGGGTACATACAGCGACCGCTAGAACGTTCACATCAAGAACTGCTCTCCACTCCTCTGTGTCTCCTTCTGCACACAGTTCGGTTGTGGGAATCACTTAGTTACCATGGCAATCTTGATCACTACATAGTTAACAATGGCAATCGGTTGTGAGTATTGTACTTTGAATCAATAAATCAGTTGCACAAAAAGAATTTGACAAAACCATTATATTCATTTGATCCTCATGTCCGTGATAAATACTCTATTACTACTGATTAAACAAATAATATACACACAAAAAACCCCTCTTTATCATTAAAACTCCCTTCGACGCAATTTCTTCAAAAGGCATTTTATTGGTTCCTAGGCCAGTGGTATTTTTTCGGATAAACTCAAACAGTTATTCGAAAATAAATGCTCACACCCGTCCCTTTCACACCGATGTTCAAAACTCCAACTAGTAGCTATAAAAATATATAACGGCATTTAATTAATTTGAAATCAATAATAGTAATGCATCACAATATTATTCGCACATAAATACAATAATTGACAATGTGATTACCACTAAGTTTGGTCCTGGAGAGGACACCAGCGTTGTTTACCAACACATCAACGCCTCCCAGGGTGTCGTCTATCCAGGAGAAGGCGGCGAGGATGTCCTCTGGACGCCTTAGGTCCGCGACGAGAGGGTGGAGCTTCCCCGGGGCTCCGTCCGCCGCGAGCCTCTCTGAGAGTGCCTGGGGAAACGTTAGAGCAAGGAACAACAGATAGATTGTGAATAAAAATAAGTATTATATTGTAGCCTATTACATATTTGCAAGTTTGAGTCTTATACTATTACATACTCTAACCAAAAATCATTTCATATTTCTAAATAATTTGTTATATACCAATCCATCAACATATCCTTGTGATATTCAAATCAAGTTCACGAAGACTTTTTAAATACAGTTAATCACTTAAATTCGTTCTTCAAGACATTTATACCTCTGGCAATATGGGAGTGTCCCTAAACATATGTACCTTATCTGGTGTCTAGGAGCACCCCCACATTGTTAAGGGTACACTCACCGAACTGAGTAGAGTGTAGAATGGGTGATGATTTGTGAAGTTTTTTTACAAAATAACTAAATGTTTCTCTAGTTCGTATAGTAAATAATCAAGAAACATTCCAGAAAAAGTCTTTTTGGTGACCCTATGATTTGAAGGTGAGCAATACAATCTTTCTCAGATACATACTAACTTAACCAACATAAAGGGTAACAGTAATAATATTTGATATTTACTGTGCAGAACCTCGACCCAAATTTGTCTCAGCTTTATATTTTTAAGGTCCAGTTTATATTGTAAATATTCTAGAATGCAATTAGGCCTAACTTTTACATTATATTGCATGACATAGATGGAAAAGTTAGATAGAAAGTACAAAAATGATTATTGTCTCACCTTAATCTTGTCCTCCTGAATGTCCAAACCAACCACAACCATGCCATGGTGAACTAGAGCTTCAGCTAGGGCTTCTCCTATGCCTGACCCAGCTCCTGTCACTAAAGCTACCTTCCCTTTCCATTGGTCCATCACTTCGACTCTTCTGAGCTTAAACTCTACAGAAACAGTAACAGGGGCTAAATTGGGCTAAATTCACTCAATAGAAAAACACCATAACTATATTACAGGAACACTATCACTTTAGAGCAACTATTGGCACAATATACAGCGAGTTAAATCTCACAACACTTTAGTCCGAAGTCATTCTCATTATGTAAAGTCACAAATAAACATTGTTATCTACAAGTAGAACCTTACTAGTGGGAGAGTCCTTATCGGTCTTCGACCTTTTTTGTTATCTTGTGAGATGTTTATAAAGAGTTTAATTGTACAAGCTCTAGCTTTTGCTGAATAAAGAATCGTATTTGACACTTGTAATGAATGTTTCGGGATTTTTCATCTTAGTGCTTAATAATCTTCAGCTGTATAAGGTGTTTTCGTGGTGTGAAGCCAAAATTAAGATATAGGTGGCATATCATTGGAAATAATAAGTATAAGCGTTGCTGGTGCGTTTTTTATTTTCTACATCAATTACTTCTTCTTTTAAAAAAAACCTTCAGAATCTTGGCCTTGATGCTACCTAACGTCCACCTTTAGTTAGTAAGCACTATTGACTTACACAGTATTATTCACAGTATTATTCAGTATTATTCAGTATTATTCATAATTCGAATCCGATCATGGTCGGAATCGAACCAACAACTTTCAAATTCGAAGGTACGGTAACTTTATTTGATAACTATTTCGAGATTGGAGATCACCATCAAGGATAACAAATATTTACACAGTGTGTTTAAATTGAATGATTATTTTTAAAGTTCTGAAATACTTGCAAGGGAATTAAATATAACAGATGTAAATTAAATTATTTTTCAATAAAATTAAATGTCACGTTTATGCAACCAGCCATGCATACGATTTTCAAACTTATCACAACGGAATAAATACGGATGGCGGATTAGGAATTTATTCGCCCGAATGACGCTCATTTCGATTCACATGAAAATATGTGACGTGTGACAGACAGCTTAATCTACGCCTGAATATTTATCACATATTATTGAGCTTCATTATTATTGCGTTTTAGTTGAAAACAATCAAATCATTCATCTATATGTATGAAAATCCATATTACTTTCAGAACTTACTGTAACTTATTTACTTTTAACGTGTCAAAAACAATACTGAAAATAAACCCGAAACTAAAGTTTACTTTGGAAACAGCGACAAGTTAAACAAGTTGATTTCCCCCCGAGAGTTTAAACTTTACCGTTTGTTTCTTTACTGTTCCCAAGTGGATTTCCTTACTTTCCACTATAAAACCAAAATAATAATCTGCCTTAAATGGGTGTAAAAGTTGACTAGCAACATTGATGTTGTTACATACGGTATTTGTAATCTTTAGGCTACTATAAACCATATTAGGAATTCAATCATAAGTAATTATCATATGTCGCGAAATTAGGTAATTTAAACGAAATTTAAATCAAAGATTATATGCCCTCGCTGAAGCAAACCGGCATACTAATTAATGTCCACTACCTGGCTGGATTCTCACTTAAATATTCCCTTATAATTGTCAGTCTTATTTTCTTATTGAATAACAATAGTTTTAATGAGTACTAAGGTTTTCCACTTCAAGGAAGGTAAAAATATGTTTTTTCTTGAAAAGTTGATAGCTTGGTATGAAATAAACGAATTTGTCAAATTGGATATAAATATTTCCATTAACAAGAACACAACTACAGTTTATATATTTTCCATAAATAAACATGATAATTTTAAATTTTATCCTCAATCTTTGTTAAGCACACAATAACTAAATTATTTGTTTTTTAAGCCCTACACATAAAAATAGTTTGGAAAGAAGTTGCGAAATTTTATGTTTTGGGGTTCAACATTTGTAAAACCCAGTCTTACACCCCATAAGCCTCCGTTCCCGTAGTCTAACCATGGTAGTTCGCAAACTCGTTTGAATAAACACAGGTTTAGCTTGTTTTCACTGAATTGAATCAAAATCAGGTAAATTTTACTAGTTATCGTGCTAACGGACGCTTAGGCCTATACACCAAATAATATCGTATGCATTTCTATGAATGGTGTTTTTGGCCTCCTCAGAACGAAAAAGAAAATCGGTTCCGGGTCCAGGTTTTACCATGAGACCTACGGTAATAGCTTATTGCCTATATGGGAAATTCGCTAAAACGAGACAGAAATTATGTATCACTTGTAATGTTTTAAGCAATGAAAAGTCCAAGTCCAAACTCATGTCCTGGATTACTATGTAGTTTGTGAATGCAGGATATCTTTTACGATTGTCATTACGCAGGCCATAAACTCAATGATGGTTAGAGGGGTAGGTATTAGCAATCTAAGGATACAATCTCAATCAAGGCAATGTCTCCGAGGCGAAGTAGACCTACAACATCATTAACTGTTCAGAACTCAACTCTCTGGTTGATCTTGGCTTCGGTCAATTTTCTGTTTACAGCTTTTGATTAGATAGATCTCTTCGTAGAGAATTTGCGTAATTTCCGTAGTTTGGAAGACAATTTGTTTAAAGGAAAAAGAATATATTTTATTTTTCAAGATGGATAGAATTCGGATCAGCAAAATATACATGTAAACTCCCGCCGGCCCCATTGCAAAAATCTGTAGTCATGCATGTTTTAATACGTGTGATATATGACGACCATCGGAAGAGGCGATCCTGATTTTTAACGTCTGACAATGGCTCCATTGTGAGTCGATACTAGTTGCCACAGCAACCATTATGATTACGAATAATAAAGGTATTTAAACCAATTTAATGAAGTAACTAACTTTACACTAACTGTAGATTACTTTTGATTTGTTATTATATATATATGTATTTACATTAATGTACTAATGTTAAACTAATAAAAAAAATAATCAAATTATAAATTATTTATTAATAACAAAAATGTAAGCAATAATATTTATACAGAAGTAAAGAGTATGAGGCAAATATAACGGTAGTGAAAATGAATATGACCCAATTCGCACTAAACCTCTTCTTCGATTTTTCCTAATTTATCCATAAAACCATTAAAACTACACACTATCCACAATATCTGCTGTCAAAAACTTGAAAAAAAATCAAGGCATCGTTTTTTTCAATATCTCAAACACATTTATTATATTGGAATTATTTACGAACACAACTATTTTTAACTATTGAGATGGAAGGTTTTAATTATGTTGAGAGTTTCAACCGACTCGCGTGTCTAGATAGATGTTGTTGGAAAAGATTAAATGGTAAAGACTTTTAGCGAATTTCCCATATAGGGAAAACGCTTTTACCGTAGGTCTAAGGGTAAAACCTGGACTCGGACGGGAGTTTTCAAAACATAACATTTGCAATTTATGTCTAAGCCATTTTGTAGAGCTTAAAACTAAATAATTTAGCATTTTCAATATTCAAATATCCTTGTACGCTAAATTGTTACGGAGAAAAGTTTAAGTTTTAAATTCCCATGTTTTTCTTAAGAAGAAGAAAAAAACAGTTGTAGTTTGCTTTTTATGGATTTGTTTTTAATTAAGTTTCTAAAGTTTTTTATTTCATACTAGTCTATTCACATTTTACCAAGATCACACTTTACTATCTTCCCTGTTACTGCAAAGGGATGACACGATACTTTTTTAGATAATATATTCGTGTGAATCAAATCAGTGCAAAAATGTAACTGTACGTGTTTTGTATATTGTTAGCACACAAGTTTTGTAGTGTAAATAAACAATTCTTTTTATTCAAACGAGTTTGTTGCAGGTTAGAGAAACGAACAAAAGTCGTCCGGTCCCGCCTGAAGATGCAACTAAACCTGAAGAGGCTATGGAAAATCCTACAGAAACAATTACAATTTATACTCAGCCCAAACGTCCAATAGAAGAGATGACAACCAAGACTATACGTAACTCAACGTTGAAAAGAAAAATTATAAAAACTAAAACGACCCTCAAATATACTTGATGTGGTGCTGTTGAAAAATTGAATTACATTTTAAATCGTGCCTCTCACTTTCCAAAGCAAGATAGCTACTATTACTTTTGGGAATTACATTGCATATTTGAAATGCAGCATTGAGCATCCAACTACAACGAGACTGCAACACCAAATGACTTCTGTTAGCTGAAACAATGTTCCTACAACAAGCACCACTACCACAACAAATCTTCAAATTAGGCCTAAGAGGAAATTATGGTACGATATTATGTTATGCATTTCGTTGTTCTCATTAACTTGTTAACTTATTTTCAGTAGTAACTATTAACCACCAAAACCTCACTTAAGACGTATAGATGTTGTATAAAGTTCCATAGGTACCATAGGTAACCTTTTTGGGTGGCGGGGTTTTTAGTCAGGTTTTAAAATATAATGCTAAAATATAATATTATGTAGGATGTTTCGAACCATGAATGTTCAAGGGACAACAGTGGTTGCCACAGACATGACTGCTGCAGATGCTGAATTGTGTAAAGAGGCTAAAATTCAGCCTTTGGTGTGTAATAATATTTTGACAGTTTTTGTGTTCAATGTGATAAAAGTTTCTCACAAAGATGTTTTAACGGATTCAAAATTACCAACAAAACTTCTAGCTTGATTAACTTATGCTTTCAAAATCAACTGTTTATCAGTATCAGTTAAAAAATTAGTTTTTAAACTTGAAATAAATTAGAAGCAATAAGAAATTTTATTAAATTTTCATGGTACATAATTCTACTTTTAACGAATGAATTCGAGAAATTCAACAAAAAGAAGATAAATATTAACTCGCTTGTTTACTCAAATTCTCGCGGGAGTTTCTTCATCTCTTTCGTTTAAACAGTGATGTTTATTTCTGTGAATAGCGGCGTCCTACTTCTTCTACCTTTATTGAACTTGCAGGATTAATTTCTTTGTGAACTATAAATTATGTGTACACTAAAGTTGAAAGCTTTTAGAAAATTAAGTGTGCTGGGTATTTATTCGCTCTGGATAGAGTATTTTAATAAAGGTTTTAATATAATAATGCAGAAATATAGTAGAAAAATATATGCGGAGGAGGTTGTAGACAACACTCCTCCCTATTAGAATTATCTTTTTAGCGAATTTCCCATATAGGGAATAAGCTATTACCGTAGTACTCATGGTAAGACCTGGACGCGGGACCGATTTTTTTTTTCGTTTTGAGGTCCCTAGAGGCCA